TAGCACAAAATAAGAGATGAGCATGTTGATTTGAATATTGTGCAAATCATCGTGTTTACCCTTGTTGTTGAACAATTCCAAGTCCAACAATTCCTGTCCAAATCAGCCGATTCAAACCAAGCTGAAAAAGAAAAACCCAAATCAAACGATTCCAAGGCCAACGACTGGCTTGTGAAACAGCAACTCAACTCGACTGAACTTGTGACTTGTTTACCAGACGATCTCGATCACTTGAATGTTATCAAGAATCGAAAATTGGACAGGTTGATTGAAAATCTTGCTAGCATAACCTGTTGCTTAACTGTTTGCCCGATTTCATTGAGATTGCTTCAAGTGTTCTGTTGGATGTTTTCTAACACCCTGGTCTTGCGGTCACAGCTCGGCTTGATCTCTATCAAGAATTACTTCTCGATCCATATCTTGAAGGAATAATATCACCTCCTTTCATATCCATAGTGTTCAAGTGGCCGATACCATTTGAACTGATCATCTATACTTAAAGTCTGCAACAAGTGGAACGGTATCAAGAAAAATTCTGAAGAGCGTCGTCAAAAGCCTAACTCGTAAGCCTGTCCCAAAGGTCACCGTGTCAGCTCGTTTGCTTATTCATGTCTTGACTTTGTGAACATCCTAGACTCAACACAAAACCGGCTCTGCTTTGTGCCTCAAGTCTTTGAGTTTAGTGACGTCAAACGTATCCTACAGATACAATACACAATGGCAAGACGTGCACCGTCAGACTCCTGTAAGCCTGGAAGGGTGGCTTTGATTGACAGAATTTCCTTCTGAAAAAGAGACACGTATTCAACTGATATAAGTTTTTTGATCACATATAGTCATTGTGAATGTAAAAGCTGGAACTAAACACATGTATGAATGTGTATTGTGTAAAAGTCGATTTGTGTCACAAAAGCATCACATTGCACTATCTACACACCAGGCTCATGTGCGCGAATATCAACTGCCTGCTCGTCGATCACCTGAATTACCACCACTAGCATCTGAATTGTGTGCTACTCAGAACGCTCTTATTGACGAGTTGTACGGATCCTCTGACTCTGACTCCGACTCTGAAGAATCAGACAGAATGCATGAATCCAATAAATCAGATAAATCAAATAAATCAAATGAATCAGTTGACTCGGAGGAATCCAATGAAGTAGATGAATCCAATTCATCAGACGATTTTCAAAATGTTGAAATTGACCGCATCTCTGATGATTTGTTAAACTCTCTGCGTGGAAGTGAAGTTGATGATGATATAGGTAGTTTGGACGAATCAAGTGATTCTGATGCGTCTAGCAGCACTTCAGAGATTGATTTAGCAACATTACTTACATATGATCGGACAAGTGACTGGTATCCATTCAAGAAGAAAGAAGTAAGTCTTCTTTTTGAGTTTTTTTGTTGAATTATATGGAAATAC